TACAGAGCTGTCTAGTATCAGCAATCTCTTCTCCCTGTAGCCTGTGGTCATGTCACCTCTTAACCTTCTCTTGGAGAAACTAGATTGAGATTTTAGTCTCACTGTAAGGCAGGTTTTGGAGATCTGGAATTATTCTTGTGGGTCTTTTTACTGATCCCTTTCCAATTTGTCAACATCCTTTTTGAAGCAAGGACCACAGAACTGGAGACAGTAGTGCAGTAAAAGTTTCTCTAATACCACCACCCTACCCCAACTTGTTATATACCCTTGTATGCATTCAAGGATCATGTTCTCACTCTTAGCCACAGTACGGCCCTGGGAGCTCCTGTTCAACAGATTACCTACCATGACCCCTAAATCCTTGTCAGAGTAACTGCTTGTAAATGTAGTCCCTCATTTTTTAATTGTGACCTCAATTCTGTGTTCCTAGATGGAGGACCTTGCATTTGGCTGAATTATGTTGTTCAAATGAGCCTATCTTAACAAGTGATCCAGGTTGGTCTACATAACTGACCTGTCCCCGTCATTTACCCTGTACCAGTTGTGTGTGTCATCTGCAAATTTTACCAGCAGGGATTTCATATTTTCTTCCAGATAATTGATAATTATCTGGAATAGCATTGGGCTTAGAAGAGATCCATGGAGGTACCTCACAAGATGATGATTCTTTATTTAAAATTAGTTTTTAAGATTTATCAGTTAACCAGTTTTTAATCCATTTCATATGTGCTACATCGATTTTTGTATAGTGCTTTTTTAAAAAAAAATCAGACCATACAGAAATAAGGCAAATACGTACAGAAGCCTAGGTATATTATCATCAACATAGTTACCTTTGTCAGCCAAACTTGTAATCCCATCAAAACACAGTATCAAGGTGGTTTGACAAGACTTTTTTCCTCCCCCACATAGCACTATGTTGGTTGGCCTTAATTATGCTACCATCTTCTAATTATTTAGTGATGGCTTAGACTAACTGGTGTATAATTATCTGAGTTGTCCCATTTACTCTTTTTAAATATTGGCACAATATTAACTTTTTTCCAGTCCTTTCAAATTTCCCTAGTATTCCAAAATTTATCAAAAATCAATATTAATGATTCAGTGAGCACCTCTGCCAATTCTTTCAATACTCTTGGGTGCAAGTTGGCTGTTCCTGCCAATTTAAAAATGTTTAATATTCAAATAATATCCACGGGTCCTACAAATGCCTATCACAACATGTGGTGTACTTCATCCATTGCACTAAATGCCCCAATAACTATGTGGGTGAAGTGAGACAATCACTATATTATTGAATTAATTCACACAGGAAAATGATAAAAGACAAAAACACCACATCACCTGTGGGTGAACATTTTTCACAAAGTGATCTCTCCATTTCTGACCTCTCGGTCCTCATCCTAAAAGGAAAACAGCAAAACACCTTCAAAAGATGAGCCTGGGAGCTGAAATTCATAATTTTGCTAGACACTAAAAATCATGGACTGGATTTATGGCTTATTACAACAATCTATAACCCACTAACAACCCCCCAACAGCTGCCTTCTCCCCTTTTTCCCCCCCAGAAGGTGTTAACAAGGCACTTCAACTTGAATGGTCCCTTGAAATATGTTGTTTACTTATGCGAAACAATCTGTTCCACTTGTATTTAGACGTGACATTCCGAGTACATCTCCCATCCCGGTCCTAAAGAAGAGCTCTGTGTAAGCTCAAAAGCTTGTCTCTCTCACTAACAAAAATTGGTCCACTAAAGATATTACCTCATCCACCTTGTCTGTCTAATATTCAAACTGACAGGTATTTCCAAGGAGTGTTTCAAAAATTCAGTTAATAATGTTTAAGAATGTTATTAAATAAGCATTTTCTAGTGATCTCTTAAGATATTAGAGCCAGTTATTTTTGAGGTTCCATGGATCATCACAGCCCCACTCTCATGAGCAGGTCTTAATCACATCAGCCAGCTAGCTAGGTATGAAAATAGAGATGAAACAGAAATGCATGAAGAACCAGAATGGATTCAGTTGTCAATTTATGCAGGGTTGGGGCTGAAGACCCCTAAAGGGGTGCATCTACACAGGGATATTAGTAACAGGGCCCCTTCCCAGGAACAGCGAGTAGCGTGTTCTCTCCTTTGAACCTGCAATGGTTGAAGCCATGCTGACCTTTTCAGGGTCACACATTTTCCCTACAATTGGGCTCTGTGAAGGAGCGCCTGCCCCACACTGGACTCAAAGGGGTTAAGAGAGCCCTTGGGTGGCTTCTCCCGAGAGGGGCTGCAAGGAGCAGCCAATCAGGGCTGGGCTGGCCTCGCCCATATAAAAAAGGGCTGCAGAGCAGAGCAGCTTCAGTCACTCCCTGGAGCTTGAGGAGGGAAGACCAGCTGCCTTGCAGGCTGAAGGCAGCAAACACCATGGACAGAGCAGTGCTGCAGGCAGAGACCCAGGGGGCTAAAGACAGCTCCTGGAGGGCTGCAGGCTGAGGCCCTGAGGCAAGGGCAAAGAGGGTGCTGGGGCCTCAGGGAAGTGGCCCAGGGAGATATACTGAGGAGTCGGAGGGGAAGCAGCAAGTGGTGGCCACGCACAGGGTCCCTGGGCAGGCCTGGATCTCTCTCCTCCCTCACCACTGAGGAAGTGGCCAGACATTGGGCTGCAGTTGCCACTGAGGGCAGTGGCTGGACCATTGGACTGCAGTACATTCCTCCAGAACGGGGGGAGCACAGAGTGCAACAAAGCTGGAGGGCTGTGTCATGAAGAGGATGTCACGGTCCTTGGAGGGACGTGGTTCCAGGAATGGAGGAGGTGACGGGCAGAGCACCACCAGGGCAAGGCACACTGGTTACCAGAGCTTATTCCCATATTGGCCGTGAGGAGGCGCTGGAGTGGTGAGTGGATCCCGTTACAAGCTCTCAGTGTTTGTCAGGCTCTTACAGGTATTCGTTTTTACCTCCAACTCATGGTCCCGGCATTGTGGCCACCAGGCTTAAGATGGACATGAAGCCATGGCTCCCTTTAAAAGAAGCCTACACTCAATGAGATGGAGAGGTAGCAATTAAGAAATGCATTGCTGGGCACTGACTTTGTCTCTCCTATAAATGGGTTAAATGCACTATATTTACAGCATTCTGAGCCCTCATCAGCTTGGGGTGGCAGATGAAAAGAACCAGGGAGTGAGAGAGAGAGAAACAAACTTGGGACTGGAAATTGAATCCCGTGTCTCTTGCATCCCAGTATCACCACTGAACCAGCCGCAGAAAGGACTATGTTTTTGAGTCAGTTTCACACTGTACATGATTTGTTGCCATATTCCTTTATAAGCTTAACGTGTGTGTGTGTGTGCACATGTGTCACTCAAGTCACCTTTGTTGTTTTCTGCCTCAGCTGAAATTCTTGGTGTTTGCTAAGCCAGGAATCCACCAGACAAATTAATAGATCACCAGAAAAGCGAAGTACAAGATTATCAGAGTCCTGAGAGGTAAAAATTTATTTATATCTGATCAGCATGTTATGATATGGTCACACCTGCTCATACAGCTGACATTCTCATAGCCAAAGAGGGATTTTTTTTGTCCTTTTTAAAATACATTTTTTTCCAGCAGGAAGGAACTTTGTTTTTTTGGTTTAAACCCCAAACATTTTCATAGTAAGCAGGAATTAAAAACAATGGCTTTTTTCAACACATTAGAACAGGGCTGGTCAGCACTGGATCTCATAGTGCTTTAAATTCAGCTTTCACGTTTCCGCTCACCCCCTTTTTTCTATACACTTTTTTCACAGAAAAACACAAACAAAACCCAGAAGGGAAATGAAGAGGTAGCCATAACTACAACCATTGCACTGTTCTACCGATTATGCAAGATGCCTCAGTGTACTCCAAAGAGTTCCATTTTTCTGTTACCTATTACTGTGTACAATATTATTTGTTAAAACGTTAACTTAACACTAAAAATGACACTTGGTAAGTGCTACTGTTAAGAGATATAGTCCAGGGCCACGGAATGTATGGTGCAGCTTATACTGCTTTGCCTAGCTGAAGTTGTTTAAAATTAGAGCGCTTCACACATCAGAAACATACAAAATGGCAACACTTTCTAGGAAAAAACTGAATTCCCATCTTTCTAGCTTGAAGGCAGTCCATGGCTTACTTAGGGCCCAGATTCTGTATTCTTTACATGCTCTGAACTTCCATCACCTTCAAGGAGGATTTTAGATGTAGAAAGAATGCATGGCTTGGCTCTACAATCTTTGGGCCAAATTCTGCAGTCCTTAGTCCAGCAAAGCTTCCAATGAATGTAAAGAAAGTTCTGCTGGAGAAAGGAGTTGCAGAAGTTGCTCTTCCTCTTCCCACCTTTTTATTTTGTTAGTTCAAAAATCAGTTCTGACCCAGGAAGACAAGTCTCCAGAAACAGCAACGATCTATAATTTTAAATTAATACTGAAATACAGTAATAACATATATGCACTAACTAAAACCCAAACTGCACTGGGAGCAGAAACACAATTTTGCTACTTGATGTTTCCATGGTAACCACAGTGGACATTTAGTACTACCTTACCCTTCCACATCAAACAAAAATACATCAACGATGAAGGGTTAAAATCATGGAATCGTGAAAAATCAACTTTATTTTGTCACACTTAAACAAAAAGAGTCACCTGTTAGTCTCTGTAAAGAAACATCTCTTTTGGTATCTGTATCTAAATTACTGAAAAATGTCTTGGTTGTTGCAAAGATTTGATAAAAATATCCAAGGAAGAAATAAGTAAAATAAATCCAAGTGTGACCAGCCCTTTGCAAAATCACTTTTAGTAACTAACTACAAGTGTTTCCATTCACTCTGACCATACACAACAAAACGCAGATACACAACAGGGAGAGGGAAAATTCAGAGAGACTAACGTTAACAATATGTCATCAAGAAAACTAAATTTCGTTGTACAAAATAAACACCTTTTTGTTATAAGTTTAAAGGAAATCAACTCACTTTAACACAACAGATGTTCAATGTATAATTGTTTTATTACCCAATGGTAAAATAAAAAGTTTAACTGTAAAATGCATAGACTCCTTACTTTTAAAGATTTTTCTCTGTATCACAGCCATGTAGCCTACATTTGTACACAATAAAAATAAGACAATTCAGAAATGTTAATAATGTGTGCAGACCTTGCAACTCAAGTACAGGTGGTTTTTTTTTTTAATTTTGCTTTTCCAACTGTTTTAAAAACAATTAAATGTAAAAATTAACACACATGCAATTTTGCAAAATACCACATTTTCTTTCATATGGCTGCATTATTTCCAAACAGTACAGTACCTTCATTCGTACAGTTACTTTATTCCATCTGATTTTGTTATATCAGCACAAAATAGTTCAGGCCAACTACCAAAAAACCAAACCCCAAACCTTAACCCCCAAACAGTTTTGCAATTTGGAAATCCCAGATTTAAGTAGCTTTGGTCCCAAGGTAAATTTTATGCCAAGGTAAAGTGGACCAGTCTAATACCTGCCACACACAGTATTCGGTATTTTTATTGTTTTCTACAAACAGATGTAAAGGTTCACAGCACTTGTGGCAATGAGGGGAGGGAAAAAACAAAAAAAAGACAGTTCGCTCCATCTTTTTGTGAATAATGAATACCACCCCAACAGTAGTTATATTTTAGATGCAGTAAGTTGCACCTTATTTCTGATGACTTCTAGAAGAGAAAGATTTATTTATTTATTTTAACTGAGAAACACAAATAAAAGCCTGGCTTTTTAAATATGACTAAAGCAGCTTAAAAAAACCCTCTTTCAAGACAAATCATGACTGAAAGAGTTGGTCGAACGGTTTGTAAGTTACAAGAGGACCTATACGGAAAGGATAGTCACAAAAGGGAAAAAAAACAGCGGTTCCATAATTTGTGAATGGTACAATGTTAATCTTTTATGGGATCCAAAAAGCAGCAACTCTGAACTACTAAGGCTATATTGTTTGTTCACAAAGTGGTTATTAACCAATTTAAAAAGATGTACGATCTAAAACATGGAACCAACATTTGCAATTTTTAAAAAATTCTCTTTAGTTCTCCCTCATGTTCTAAAGTAGTAGAGAAATTAACAGTTCCACAATCTGTATAATTAAATGTCCTGCAGATATTTTCACCCTGCATTGTTTTAGATATTCCCCCACAATACTGCTCCTTACACCATCAATTCAAAGTTGTATTAATTATACTGCAACTTGGCAGGTACTTTTACCATTAAATTAATTTTCTACTAGATGCATTTTTCTCTGCAGAGAAAACTGTTCTAAACAGAAACCCCCTGGGTAGCTTGCAGCAAAGTGTCCACTACTGCTATGATCACAAACCAGGTGCAGGTAACTGAACTATCACTCAAAGGAGTTGCATATTTTACAAGATAGCCTGCTAATCTCCAAACAGTCTAGACCAGCAGGGTATTTAATTACCATATTTCCTATATATTACCTATATTTTATATGTTTTTTCCCTTAATAAAAAAAATCCTTTTAACACTCCTGTTTTATTCTCCTTCATAAACTAGCATCTAAGTCCACGATGGGATGGTACTTCTACTCAGAATTCCTAACAGCAGTGTCTTTCCAATGTCACCTAATTCAACCATGCACGACACACTCTCTTCACATCTTCCAGTGCAGATAGGAGAGAACCAATCTAATGTGACTTAATCTCCCCATTGAAACTACAATCAGTGCCTTAAAACAAAAATATTTTGCAATATTAAAAAAAAGGGAACAGGTTGAATAATAAACAAACGAACTGGGTAAATCATATGCCCATCTCAGCACACTACTGCTCACTCCTACTATTTCATTAGGCAGCATGTGAGTACTTAGTGTGTCACGCTAGGTCACTGGAAACAACATACTGCATTAGAAAAGCAATATACTCTTTGCATGCAGTATCAGGTTCATAATGAACAGTAGTTTGATGCATGCTACTGTTGTGCAACTTGCTTAGTCACAATCTTCCCTTTCTATATCAACCCCTTCAACTTATTTTGTTTTGAATTGGGAACGTTGGAATGTGGGTAACAACCACATAGTTCCAACCAAATCATATGTTAGTAAGACAAATAAAAACAGTCTGCCACTTGCACTCTGCAGATCATTTCCAGTACACTCTTGTTCAGACCTGGCCTGCTATTTACGGCCACATTTATGATGGTTGGTATTGAACTTCCCTCCTGAAATATGGCAGATGAAATGCATTGCTTACTTCAGTTATAGTTTAACAAGAATGGATTGAAGCGTAAAGGAAAATTCTCATGTTCCAAACTGGCCTCCCTGTGCAGTATTTTGTTTGATTTTGTTCTTACACTACAATTCAGCTCACTGTGTAGGGGGGGTGTGGGTGTTAGTTATCAGGAAGTTTGAGTTTGAAAACTGCAGCTTATACTGAACACTAAGCTAAACGTTAACACTGTCTTCTGCATTTCACCTGTAGTGGTATCGTAATAGTCCATGAGGTATTTCAGTTGATCTTCTATAATGCATCATTTTGTTATCAGCCACGAAAATTCACATCTTTCCCTTTTTTTGGTTTTCCCCCAAAAGCAAAAGGAAAAATATGAAGCTATGTTTTGTATTTTTATTCTGTACATTACTTATCAAAACTGGTTCTCATGAGCTTAAGGAAAAACAGGGAATCTATACCACAAACTCAACATATACAACTACTGTTGGCTTACTTTGCTCTCAGTAAAGTTACAATCCATGAAAGATAATACACCATAGTAACTCTAAGTTCTGACTACATGTTCTGTACTTATAAAGAGTAATGGTATTCTAGGAATAGTTCTTTTTTATCTCTGTAATCACATGAACATGATGCCAACTAAACCTGTCAGAAGTGAGAACCCACAGCGCTGACTTCCCATCAAAAGATTTGTAAGCCAGACATAGGAAAATCTGTTTTGTGCCAGGCTGCCTTTTAATTCTTCTTTTAGTCAGACTGACACTTTCAGCATGGTGGCAGGTTAATACTGCTCTCTGTATAGTTATTCCTTCCCCCCCCACCCCCCCCAACAAATAGGTTGAACATTTTCCTATAGCTTTAGGCCAGCACTTATACCCACTTTTTTTAAAAGACACCAGCTTCCTAATATTCTTCCTAAGCAAAATATTGATGATTTGGCATTGATTTGCTTAAACCCTGCCACAAATGTATTTAGTGCTGTTGCAACAAATGGAAAAAAGGTCTCTAAGCTATAACACCGTCATATTGGCTAAAGTTTGGTATCCAACACAGAAGGGCAGCAGGAAGAGTTAATGCCTCTTAAAATTCCAAGTTGCTATAGATAAAGCTTGCTTTTTCCTGTAAGGTATATACCTTTCCTTCACTGTATTTTCATCTTTAAAAGTGCATTTTGCAAAAAGACAATCATCAATTTATGGAACACATTTTAAACACAAAAGGGAACTAATCAAGTTATGTGACTTTTTAAAGTTCCCTCACAAGAAGGAATACACTGGAACATGGAACTCAATGGTAATGGGCTGATTTATCAGGTGCACATCATTTTTAAACACATTAGGATACTGAAACACCTTTCTGAGCGCTGTTTTCTCCCAAAAAACATTGCCGACACTGGCTGTCACTTGGGTGTTGTCCTTAGGAATGGTGTGTCTAATACAACAATGGCTGATCAAGGAGCAGTTAAGATACAGTAACCAGCTCTGCAGAATGTTTAACTGATCCCAGCAGTAAAACTTGAGTTTTTGCAAATGAAGGATCTCTAACCACACAACTTGTAGTGCAGACTACTGGAGAAACAAAATTGATGAATTTTCTGAGCTTTAACTACAATGCCGAGAAATACCTGCGGTGTTAGAACTTTTTTGTTGCAGACTTTTTTCTACAGTGGTTGTACAATTGCACCTCTTGTGCAAATGCTGAATTTGCTTAAGAGTGTGGGGGGTATCCACCTTTTAAAAATATGGACAGTTCTTAAAATACATCAGGTCACGATATTACTGATCCTCACTTTTAGTGGAGTTTAAAATCTCCCCTAAGAGGGGTTAAAATCCATCCAGCATTTTCCTTTATTCTTGTATATTCACATTTGCACACAAACATGATGCAGATTTGCAAGAGCCTGGCTTCTCAAAGTGTCCTCAGGTCCCTTTCAACTTCTAAAATAGGCAATGATAAAAATACTGAAGGATGCAGTACCACATAACGCCCGACAAAAATGCAAGGGACTGTATGACAATTAGCCACAAGTTGTTGAGGGTCATCTCTCGGGAAATAGCCTTTGCTTGACCCTGAAGAGGAGGAAAAGCTCCTAGAAGACAAGAAATAGCATTGTTAATCCTTCTGCAATAGGAGCTATAGTTTACGAGTGCACTATTCTTTAGCAGCATTGCCTGTGCTGACAGTGACAGTGGTTGCAAGGAATTCGTTGGTTGTCTGCCTTAGGGTGGTAATTTTTCAGAATATAATTTCCTACAGTACAATTTCTGTCTTTACAGAGTGGGAAAAAATGTTAAATTAGTGTTCCTTCCATAGTGGTAAAAACAAATACAATTAGGTGGCCCAACATGGATTTTCCTAGCTGTTATTTGTCAAAATGCTTTCCCCCAACCTGATCATTATCTCAAACACATCTCTTTAAGTCTTTGAATTTAAGACTTTGCTTTAGTTTCACTCAGTGTGAACGTTCTCCAGCCAGAGTGGCTGCGAAGTGTCATCTCACGTGACAATCATGCATTTGGCATCCTGTGTCTGCCCACATCTCAGCCAGAATCTCACTCACTGAGTTGGGCTTGTGCTGCAAACAAGAGTTGCAAATATGCCTATGGCCACTAGAGGCTACGATGACCAGATGTCCTGATTTTAGGGACAGTCCCGATATTTGGAAATTTTTCTTATATAGGCACCTATTACTCCCGATATTTCACACTTTCTATCTGATCACCCTACTAGAGGCTGCTATGGAGCCTGAATTCAGGCCAGCAAGTGGTCTGCTGGTCTTTCCTCTGGCTACTCCCAGTGCTGGATCTGAGTAGGGACAGAACATCAGCAGGTGTTGGCTGACCAGTAGGGACAGAAGATGAGAGGACTCAGTACTACCCTCAGGTTCTTCCAACCAGACACTCAGAGACACCTCAGACCCCAGGCCTCCCAGTGAGACCCTAGCCAGATCTCTTGCTCTCCCAGACAGCATCTGTCCACCTATCCCAGATACCGCCACACCAAACTATAACTCAGCAATCCTAGACTCCAGACTGCAGCCTATCCCAGAACCCCTAGACTCCAGTCCCACTTGCCCACCCTATGCATGCCTAAAGCCTTATAACTGCCAAGTTTTGCACAGCTGTGTGTCCTACCCCTGCCACAACTTGGGGCAGGATAAAGTTGACCATAAACTGAACTTTATGGTCATATGCAAAGTATTTGCAAATATGCAAGTTACTACATTAAATAATTTGCATAAAATGTCAAAGCTGCACAAAACTTGGCAGTTGTGAAGCAGTTTTTTCCATTTTTCATGTGCAAAGCTGGTATTAAAAACCCTCCTCATGATACTACAAATTAGAAGTGCTTGCAGGGGCATTATGGGAGCACCACTAAGTTTCCTCTACCATCCATCCACTTCTTTTAGACGAAAGTCATACCAGTACAACTTTACCTTTGCACATTAGAATTTACAAACAGCATAGATTTAGACATAGCAGTGAGTTTATACATACATATTATTGCTTCCACATTTGTTATCTCTGGTGAACTGCACCCATAGAAATGTTTAAGAAAAAAAACAGTGTAGACAAGGCTTTTCTCTCTCTCCCTACGAACACATTACGTCGTATATAAACTTTGACAAATTACCTCCCACCAGCCAGGAGAGAATCTCTCTTTCTCTCTCAGAAGACAGCCTCTCCACCCCATTTATTCACCAACAACTCAGACTTGGTTACGCACACACAATTCACCCTTTGCACATCTATCTATCCCGTCACTACTGCATTCGCTCATTCTTATTCATCCCCACCCAAATAATCAATTCTCTCTCCTGCCCCAGTTCTCAGCAAAGTCTTTTTAAAAGTGCTCCAGGGTTATATGATAGAGAGTTTCTCCAGTCTAATTTGGGAGTTCTTGATATCTAGTCAGCAAAAAGGAAAGTTTTGCAAAAAAGTGAGTGCTTTCAATTATTTTTAAGATTAATTTCACCTGCTCTCTCCAAATAAAAACATTCTAACAGAGAGCAGATATTGTAGATTGTTTGTCTCTTTATTTTTAAAAACTTTTTGAATTATATTACTGCAGTTAAAAACAAAACTACATACAAACCCCAAACTAAGTTTTTTTTTTAAACAAACACTGATCATTCACTGGGCTACTATGTTTTTAATACTGCACAGTAACTTGCTTCTGAGTAAAGTTACTGCATGCCACAATTCAGTCTGGGGAAAGCTTTACAAGCTGAGACATGAATCACTAAAATAGTATTTATGAAGTAAGTGAAAGTGATGAAACAACTGTAGTGGTTGCAGCAGGCACAGTGATATATAATGTGGCAGCAAAACAAAAAAAAAGCAAGTGCTTCACCAAAGCGCTGACATTCCCTTCACATTTAGCCTGAGGACCTACTGGCAGTATTGTCACTGAATTGAGAGCAGCTCTTCTGCAATAAGATATCACAGGGTAAAATTATAGGAGCAAATCCTCCACTTGTGTTAACTGTCATAACTAAACTAAGCTAATTTAGACGAGCTAAGGGTCTGCTCCAGGGTGTATTAATTTATGACTACTTCCATTGACAATATACTAAGCATCAATTAAACTATAATCTAGCTCTTAGAAAAACAGATGTTTACATACATGAATGTACCTAGAACTAGTAGTTTTTGAGCAAGGAATTAGGAGGTTTTCATTTTGCTGCTTGGAATTCTTAGCTAATCAAATCATTTAGGTTTTTCACTGCCACAATTTTAAAGCACTGTCTATATAGCTGGTTTTAGAACACCAGCATGAGCCCTGCTACCCTGAGTCTGTTAACCTGGGCTGGGAGACTCGCTCCCCTTCACTACAAAATGCTGTGCAGACATCCCTAAGGCCCCAATCTTGCAATGTACTTCACCCACATGGGGCTCCAATGAAGTCAGAGACTTTGTAATTGTGCAAGGTCTGCCCACATGCAACACATTACAGGATCTGACCCAATAAAGATGTTTTTGGATATAAAGACCCATTGTATTTGAGTATTTTGATGAGTGAGATGAGTCTGATATGGCAAAAGGCTAGTTATTCTTCTCAAAGTGAGGTGCACATGACGTATTGTAGTTGGATGTTGAGATTTTATTAATATTTCAAGCACCCACCATATTCACAAATTATAATAATATCTCTAAAGTTTTATGAAATGATCAACCATTAGTATTAACAATGAATAATCCAATCTCTTTTTACCATTGAGACACTTTGGAATGTTGAACTTAACCGAGTGGGCTGACTGGATGACTGTTTTAGGCAACTGCATAAGAAATTTAATAAAGAAGCTTTGTTTTCCTATAAAAAGGCAAATAATTTGCGGTATTTCAAACCCAGTCACTCTAATCAGGTAACATCACCGTCTAATAAATTTCCTTTCCTACATATAAACGTCTAAATGAAAAACTCAATGTTTTTCACTCATCCAGTTTTGTAAAGGAAAAACCAAAAAGCCCCCCAAAATAAAAACTAACAAAACTGTTGTTTTTTTCTTATGGTTAATTTATCTTTTCTCTATATGGTACAAAACCACAGGGCTATTAGAGGACAGCTGGTAAACTTCAATGTTGGTCAAATGCAAAAGGATAAAAACCTTGAGGAAATGTATCCCCAGCTTTATTTTCAAAGAAGAGTGCATATAAAAATGAAATTACAAAATGTGTGATACTTGCCAGTGTCCCTTCAGCAATATACCAGCGTCCCATAATTTGTTTAGAACTCTGTGATCTGTCTTCGTTTAGGACACTTTATTGTATGCTGTGTTGTATTTACAATATTCCTTCATGTTTTGAGGGAGTGTGTGGGGTCTGGTGCTTGGACTAGGACTCCTGAGTTCTATGACACTGATTTGCTGTGAATCCTTGGGAAAGTCACAACCTCTTTGTGCTTCAGTTTAATAGGCACAGTGATCCAATATGGCATTTTCTGACTCACTGTCCATCTAGTTCATTATCCTGTCCCTAACAGTAGACAGTTACCGGATACATCAGAGGAAGGTGTACGAACCAACAGTGGACAGATGTGGTTTAATCTGTCCCCCAGAGAAGCCTCATCTTAATCCCTATTCATTAAAAATTTTAAGCTCTGAAGCATGAAGTTTTATATCACTTCCAAAACTTGTAAGCATTAACTCTTAGTATTTTTGGTATACATATAAAGATCCAGTCGCTCTTTGAATCTTGAGCTAAATTCTTGCTCTTAGTGACATCTTAGGGCAATGAGTTCCACAGTCTAAGTATATGGTGAGTGAAAATGGGATTTTCTTTCAACAGCTTTGCATTTGTCACCTTTTGATTTCACCTCTGCTCTGAGGCAGGAAGAACAGAAGCTCCTGATCTCTCCTCTGTATATGATTCATTATTTTATATACTTTCCCCAGACAAAACATGGATAACAAATGTCTATTTCATGATGGTGTTATGACTAGTAATTAAATGTTCTTAAAATTATTCTGAGATCCTTGCATGAAAGCCAGTATGGAAATGCAAACCATTATTAAGTGTTCTCTTAGGGGAGACAACATGCTACCTGTTTTGTAAAAATGTGACAAGAGATCCTCTTTTTCAATGAATCGTTGATATAGCCAATCAGTGAGGGCTTCAGGTTGTGCAGGTACATCTTTAATTGGAAAAATCCTACCAAAAGAAAGAACAGAACAATGTGACTGGATCTATTAAAGTCATTCTACATGTAAGAAAGCCCCCCACTTTTCCCTCAAAAATACACGAGAACAGAATAAAACTATTAAATTGGTCTGTGTTCCCTCTCATTTACAGCTCAAATAATACTTAACCTTCAAAACAGTGGAATATTTCAGATCACCGGTCAAATGAATGCTAAGGACATAGGAATCATCAGTACCTAGCAACTGCAGACCATCATCAAGGCTGCACAGAGCCCACACACCTCTGCAGTGTACAAAGGCTTTAATAAAAAAAAAAGTGTAGTGTGATATGCATGCCTATTTTTCCTATAAAAATGATCCATGGACAATAGAATTGGTGGATAAAAAAAACAAAAACTCACCCACCCCAACACCATACACTCTGAGAAGATTCTTCTACCCTCTTTGGGAAGGAAATTCTTTGGGATTTGAGGATTTGTGAAGGATGTAGTTAGCATTAATAGCTCTTCTGTGTCTCAGAACAAATCACCCTTTATGCCCAACAATGAAGCTGCTCTATCTGTCTGGAATTTATAAAGCAGGTTACACAAATGCTAAATCTTCAGTGTATAAGCATACTGAAATATTGCTACAAGATTTTAACAAGCAACAATATAAGCTAAATCTGATTAATATTTATATATAAATAAAATAGCTCACTGTATAAAGAGATCTAAAGATGAGCCTATCACATGACAGCAGGGATAGATAGAGGGGAGGGCAAGAAGATATTACCCAGTGATACCATTAAAACCATTTGTTTTGTTTTATGATATAAGCCAAATCCTGCCCACCTGAGCAGGGTTAGATAGTTGCATATGTGGGTGTGCTTTAGAATATCCATACCTGCACCCAGAAATGAAGGACAATTTTAAGATTATAGTAGGCTAGCCATTTAAAAAGCACTGCTTTTTACAATTTTTTTTTGTGGGGGAGAGGGGCAAAATCAGAGAACTTTATGGCACAACTGTTTACAAAGTTAAAGTTGTGCTGGAAATGGCCCAACTTGATTATCATACACATTGTAAGGAGAGTGATCACTTTAGATAAGCTATTACCAGCAGGAGAGTGGGGTGGGAGGAGGTATTGTTTCATGGTCTCTGTGTATATAATGTCTTCTGCAGTTTCCACAGTATGCATCCGATGAAGTGAGCGGTAGCTCACGAAAGCTTATGCTCAAATAAATTGGTTAGTCTCTAAGGTGCCACAAGTACTCCTTTTCTTTTTGCGCAAGTTAACCAGTGATTCTTATGATAATTATGGGACACCACATGCAACAATTCTACATAAAGCAATAAAGTTGGATTTTTTACCAGACTGTTATACCAGTATTGAAAGCAATATAATCTGATTTCCCAAACTGCCACAAACGATCTAACTATTTTAAGCCAGAATGCCGGCAGTATATTCAGAAACATCAATTAAAATTTAAAACTATTTCCATATAGCCTACATTGTTTACTCCTCGGGAGGCACACTTCTTGCCTTCTGAACTTTCAGGATGCCAAGGTAAGTGGATTGGTAGTTTTCTTTATATTTTCTAAGGGAGTGACAATTACAATGTCTTTGTAACCTTGTTACAGGGTTTCAAGCTTGGCCTCCCGATTTTGGTACTTTTGTCAGAATATCGAGGTTGGATTCTAGATGTTCCAGTAATTTTTTTAACATTTAACTACAGAAGTGGGTCCACAGAACCAATCTCATGTCAAAGTGTCAAAATGAGGTGGCTTATTATGAGGTGGCTTATTATGAAGCGCTTCTTAGAAACATTTTCCCCAATGTATGAAGAGGATCACTAACTTTTAAACTATGGCCTAAAGGGCAGTGAAGCTCCATAGTGAATGCATATTTCCCCATAAATCTGGCCTCTTATCTAACTAATTTGCTCATTAAACATCTTGCGAATAAAAAAGCGCCACCCTTTTCACTATACCAATTACCATCCCCATTATATCACTTTCCATTTCTCAGAGAGCATGTTTTAGCCTCAGCAAGCCTGGGGAAAAAAAGAAAAGAAAGGTCAGGGAACAAATGCTCTCCACTCTCATTACTGGACTCTCTAATATAAGTGCCTTTCGGCTTCTCTTATATAAGACTGCTTCGTGTGCCTTGGTCTCCCAAATAAATGCAAGAGACAACTGTATCTATGTGGCCTGAAAAAGGCAGTCTGAAGTGAAATTATTTTTTATAATAGATTGTGTTTTCTGCTGCACCTTCCATTTGTCGTTCTCACGCTTTGCTATGCATTTATTTTCTTCAGTGGACTTTTCACTGCTATTTAAACATGGAATTCATTAGGCTGAAAAGGATTTGAGATAACAGAACAACCTAAGGCTAATTGTGTAATGTTTTAAACAACATAGCCCTCTGGGGAAGGTTGGAAGGTGTCCTAATAGCATTATGAAATGCTAGGCAACGACTCTTTAAAAATGACCTTTTTTCATTCTTGTATTTTCTCTTGTTCCTTTGCTATGTCACTCATGCCTCTCTCTCTCCTCAATTCTCCCTGCTTAATAGCTCCTCATTGTCACAAAACCAACATGAAGTTTCCCAGACCCTGAATGCACTGCTGCTGCATTTTGTTCCTCTCATTATTCCAAACCACTTTTTTTGGATGCTACATTTCCATATCTGAGACATTCTAAACTGAAGCTATTAGTAGCAGTGTATCCCTTCTGTCCCCTTTCCTAATAGCCATAACAGTCTCTCTTGCAACGTCTCCTCATAATATCAAAACACTAGTGAGTATCTCTAACAAAACACTGCCAAACAGACACTCCTCTCTGCTGTCTCAGTGGTATCAGGTTGATAAGGATTTCTTTGGTTTCCTTCTTTCCCACAGTGCCAAAACTCCAGTGAACTGAAATCTACACTATCCAACCTGATAGGAAATGAAGTATAGTACATTCTCAGCAACTTGTTTTAGAATCTACCAGCTGCAACATTTAATTCTCTTTAGTACTTAGTTAAATGAATTTTACCAAGTAATTATAGCACAAACAAAAGTCAATATATTTAGAAAAAGCACTGCATGTCAATCAGCCAGCATATATTTAAATTGCTTCATAATTCTTCATGGGTTTTCTCTTCACAACTGCTATTAATGCAAATCTGATATCATCTAGTTTGTTAACTATCAGGTATAGAAGGCTCAAAAGAAATAGTTTGCTCTGATAAAACTATTGATGCTGTTCTATTGAGAGCAGACTCAGATAAAGTGTTAAAAAAAATAATCAGAAACACCCAGAGGTGGCTACATTTCAGTAGTACCTTATGCTTACACAGTACAGCAGCACAGTCTTCTAATTCAAGCACAGGGCTGGGAGTCAGGAGATCTAAGTTCTAGTCTCAGTTCTTCCACAGACTATATTTGACCTTGGGCAAGTCACGTTAGGGCCTGCTATTTCTCTACTTCAACCAGAGGAGGCGGTGTTCAGTACTTCTGAAAATAAGGTCTTTAACCTCTCTGTGTATCTGTTTCTCATCCTGTAAAACTGGGATAATATTTACCCTGGCTAACAGGTAATTGCAGGATTAATGTTTGCAATGTACCCAGAGATCCTCAGATGAACTATGCTATACAACTGTAATATTAAAGTCTGCTCTTAGATGATTTAAAATGGTATTATGATATTATATGAGAATCAAAAAGTGAGACATGAAACTAATCATTAAGATCACAGACAGAAAAAGTAAAAAGCATTAACAGTGGAAGTTATATATTAAATTGTTCCCACGATAATAAAACTATGTTTTTTGTAACACAAGAGTTTTTAAAATAGGATTTTTAACCTGACATGGCTTCCATTGTCAGTCAGCAGCAGGTGTGAGCAATTCTGCTGTAATATAACAAAATCACCAAGGTAGAAGAACAGTATGAGAAGACTCCCTTTAGCTTCAAGTGCTAAAGTCCTAGATTTTGGGTGTAATAAAGCTTTTCTGTGAGGGAGCAACAGGAAGCATTAAGGTTATGCCTACACTACAGAGACTATACTGGGACAGCTCCTTAGCATAGATGCAACTTACACTGATAGAATGAATGTTTCTGTGTCAGAATGCCATCTCCCTGAACTAAATTACGTGTGTTGATGGAAGCTCTTTTCTGTTCACACAGCTGCATCTACACTGGGAGTTTTGTCAGCATAGCTACGTTGATTGTGGGGGTGTTTTTTTTCCACAGCCATGTAACTTGTCCACGTAGACTAGACCTAACTCTCTTACTAGATTATCCTTCTGTGGTGCTACAGGGGAGAGTAATTTAAGCCAGTCTACAGAACAAATAAAAATATAAGAAAGTAAGTTGCAGTATGGTTGTCTGCTGTTCTGATTACAACAGTTCCATTTTACAGTTAAATGGAACATTATCTGGGTCCTTGAATAATGTTAAGGACTTGGACAATGCAAATGCAGCCCCGGTGTAACTACATCCCATTACATAATTCTACTTTTAGTGTAGGGAAGTCCTTTAGAGAGACCTGGGATGAAATCCTTGTCCTACTGAAGTCAACACCAAAATACCCATTGACTTCAGTAGGGCCAGAATTTTACCCCTGCTTACAACATGGTTAAATTTATTTGGAGTTTGTCTGTCTGCTGTGCTCTACCTGTGCCTCTACATTTTAAGACCACTCACTCCAGACAATATTTCTAAGGAAGGTGTTTTCTCTTTGAAAAAACATGGTATCACTATTAAAAGTATAATAAAAGCTACCCGGAAAAAGAAAATACAACTGACCCCCGTATTTGCAGAAATATTAAGAAAGCTAAAATGGATCAATAAGCATGAAATTAGTTATTCAAACAGTTTCCAGTAAAGCTGGCGGGACAAGGTGAGTGAGGTAATATTTTTATTAGACCAACTTCTGTTGATGAAAGAGACAAGCTTTCAAGCTTACACAGAGCTCTCTTCAAGCTGGTAGGTTCTCTGCTATATTTGCATAAGACTATATTTTGCAGATGAAAACGGAGATC